TGCCCACATGCTGCACCAGGGGCACAGTCAGGGGCTCGCCAGGAGCACACCCAGGGCACCACAGCAAGCTGGGAGGAAGTTCCACAGCATCAGGACTGTCTCCCATGCCCACACAGGGTAATCCCAGCCCTGTTTCCACCGGGAGCTGTGCAAACGCTCACTAAGTGATGCCACACCCGCGTGGGCATTGCCCTGACAAAGGCTGTGCACGGCTCAGCCAAGCATCTCTCCAACACAAAGCAAAGGGCTTTGTGACCCACACGTGCCCAGGGCAGCCCAAGCTGCCCACAGACAGGGTTCTCAGTTCTCCTCGTGGGCACGGACCACACATGGAAACAGTCACTGCTTTGCAGTGCCAGGGGATCCACTCCACCCTGGAGAGGTTTGCAAACTGTGTAAGACCATCCCTGAGGGCACATGCCACTTCTGCCCTCCGCCAAACTCCTTTTCAGAAAAAATAATTTCACCTCTCAAAGCACCAGCAATTGCTTGGCAGTGCATCTAAAAACACCATTAACAGAGCCAAATGGCACAGTCTCCTAAGTGGAAAAGTGAACAGGATATGGCAGAGGGTAGGATTCATCAGCCAAGGTAGGAAGGTAGTGGCATCATGGCTTGGGAAGTACTTGCACTGCAGGGGATTTAGCTGAGTATGCTGCAGTGCTCAGTGTAAGTCATATAAGCCTAATATTTCTAAGTAAATACACTCTCTGCCAAAAGGAAAACATCACTGTAAAACTGGATTTGCCCCCAGCTCTGTCCTTTCCTACTCCAGCAGGCAGCTTTGGTTTTTAATGGGGATCAGGCAAAAACATGTTTCCTAAAGAGGAAACCTCCCTGGCACAAAGTCTAAGTGGAATCCAGTCCAAGCTGGCCACCAGCTCAGGGTGCTGCTCTCTGCCTCCTCTGTACTGCACCTGCAGCATGAGGTGCCTCTTCCTACTCCAAGGTGCCCCAGGCTGTGGCTGTTTCACACCTGGGAGTGACTGCACCACTCATCAGATACGATTCCCATCCCTGTCTACCTCTGAAAGTTCAGAAACAGAGCAAGGGCCATGCCCAGGTGGGGTTCTGGATGCCATGGCTGTCGCCCTGCAGCAGCCCCCTGCAAAACACACCACCAAGTTGTCACCTTTAGAGATCCCAAGCTCTGTCCCAGTCAGATGGGAAAGATGTTCTGAGCTTTGGCACCTGTGTAACCCCACTGTGAACAGTCTCTTCAGACTCCTACATAACATTTCTTTTCAGCAGAGCAGGGCTATGTCCTCCTCCAAGCACAGGTAAATATTACATGCTTTAAAAATACAAAGCACAGCATCCAGCCCTCAGAGTGAAGTTTTTAAAACAGTCAGTGTGATGTGAGCCAATATGTATTATAGATGTGCCCAATGTTCAAGGCTGAGCAATGATTTTTTGGGTTTCTACCCATCAAGGTACAAACCCCTCTCAAATAGCAGTTTTGTGGCAAGAGCATCTTTCCACTATGGCAGGGGAAGAGGCAGCTGGCAGGCACGGGACTGAATACCTGGTGTACTTGAGAAAAATGCCTTTGCACACATAGCGTGCGGAGAACCCGAGCTCCTGGAAAAGCCTGCCTCAGTCAGACAAATCAGGCTTATAAACTCACCCCTTTTGGGGAGGAGGGAGTGCAGGGAGGGGGCTAATGGCTGCTTTATTGCATTAGTCAGTATCTTCATTAAGGCAGAGAAGAGTAACCGAGGGGAATGTGCACGTAGCGTGACTTCTTTGCTAGAACCCCACAAACCACCAACTGGCAGCTCCCTGGCTCCCAGCCACCCAAATCCAAGAGACCATCTGGCAGCTGGTTCAGTTATCCCTCCCCAGTTAACAGATGTACACTAGATGGTGTGGGAACAGCATTTTGCAGAAGCAATTAGTTTAATCCTCAGCTAAAGAGTTTAAATTCCTAGTGATTTGGAGGGAAAAAAAAAAAAAAAGAAAGAAAAAAAAAGGGAAAAGAAAATCCAAAAAACAAACCAAGTTGCTTCCAATTTCAGCAAGAATAACTAATGAAAAGCCAATTTAGCTGGTTTCATCACTGATGTGTGCCCATGGGACTTGTTCTTATTCTCAGCTCCACGTGCTACACACCAGAAATCCACCAGATTTATTCAGAGGCTGCAACTGCATGGCCACCACTTGCATGGCTTTGCAATAGCTGCACCCACTGTCCCATAGACAAAATCCAACTGGGTAGAGGCTGATCTCTGAAACACAGATCTGTCCTGACTTCAGCTCCTTGTCTGGCCTTGGGCAAATCATTTAACCTGGTTAAATCAATTTGCCTGGCACACACACCTCCCTGTCTCCAGAAAATGAGGTAAATTATGTGGTCCTGCTACAGGGAGTAGTAAGGTGGAATCAATTAGGGTTTGTGAAGTACTTGGAGAGTCTTGAATGGGAGAAATCATAGAAATAGAGAACATCCTTTTTAATTACACTAACTGATTAATTATTATTAAATTAGGACAATTTTGTTCTCTTGAGAAGAGAAAGATATGTTTTCCAGCCATTTCTTTTGCTAACATCTTTAAAAGAGTGACTTTACAACTGCAGAAGACTGAATGAGGAGCTTAACCCAAATAAAATAAATTGCCAGTAATTTCTGGTATCCCCTATGCCATTATTGAACAATTTGCATTTGAATTGGGGCTTTTTCCATCACAATCCAGCTTCACCTGATCCTGCTCTATAATCACCATCCCCATTTATGAAATCCCAGCATGTTGCCACAGAAATTATGTCACAAATTCATCATTATGACTTCCCCAGCAGGAGCAATTGGAGCCGAAGATTGGCTGTAAAAGTTGCCTTTTTACCAGTCCTGCTTTAAAGATATTTTAGTGTTTTTTTTTTTTTTTAAGGTACAGAAGTGAGATTAGCAACCATGGGGAATTAGATGAGCATGTCATGAATATCCCAGGGATATAAGATTACACCCGTGAGTCAGAGGAACCATAAAATATGATCAAGGGACTTTATGGAGGATGATCTTTGAAATCAACTCCTAATCTCTGAGCGGTTTACATAAAACCAATGATTTTTTTTTAAATTATTTTTAAGAGTAATTCAAAATTCAAAAGTGAACCAGACTGGTAATAGCAAGTTACAGCTATTCCCGTCAGAAAGGCTTATCTATCAAGCCACTCCAACCACCAGGGCTTACAGGTTTGTACACTCCTTTGATAACATGGTAATTAGTCAGGTACCACAGCAAGAAACATTCAGAGAGTAAACTTTTGAGGTAAATAATTTATATTGAAATATTTTAGGCTCTTCCTGCTAGGCTACACTCCTCTCACTGATGCTTGTCAAAGGCTGGCATGTGTTGCATTTCCTAATGAGAGCCACTGAAGAACTCTGACATGGGAAAACCTCAAAACAAAGAATACTTATGCTGTAAGAAATGCACTTTCCCAGAAATTGTCTTATTATTCCTCCTTTATTATTGAGAACAAACAACACTGGAATAAAAACCTCTCTTTATCGGTGCTAAAACTGTGCAAATAATTCAATGAGAAAACAGTAACACCTTACACAGAGTGCAACACCCAATTTGGGGACCACACACTGATGCATTCGCATGAGCTTGAGTCTTGCCTGGATCCACTCACACTTTTCCCCCTTTCTCCCAGTCACCCACCCCTCCACATGGCTGGAGCCCTCCCACGCCTCTGGGTTTTGGCAGCCAAGCCTGGGTGGTTTGAGATGTGGCTGCTCCTGTGGAAGAGGAGATCAAAGCTACCATGTGCCAGGCCCTCACTGCATCGGCTATTAACTCAAACTGCCATCAATTCTCATTTGAGCTTACACAAACTATGGCAGCTGGAAAATTACCCAGCCATAAATCACCACCGCTTGCTTGTCAACCATCAGTCCTCCCGTTGGATGCACAGATTTCTCCTCTTCTCCCCACCAGCCTTCCACCTTTTCTAAATTAAAAACGAGCAAACTAGCCAGCAGATTTACAAGAAATCTCTTTGCAACGTTGTTGAGCAGTCTGGCAGGTTAGTTAGTTCTTTGAGGTATCCTACACAGCAAGGTATGATTAGTAAGGGAGACACCTTGCTCATTCAGGATGAGCAAGAAACCCCAAGATTTTGCAAAAAATCCCCAACCAATCAGAAAAAAAAAAAGAAAAAAAAAAAAGGAAGACTGTGACACAGGTTCAGGTCTCCCCAAGAAGAGCAGCACTACAAGCAGTGAGTAACCACCAGCCTTCAGGTAAATAACAGGGAGCTATTTAGCTCCAGTAAGCCTGTTACACTACAGTGGAGCCCTTCCACTTCCCAGCTGTGACAAGCAATAATTAATTAGTAGCAAACACTCTAATGGGTGTTTGATCCTTACTCCAGCAATTAGACTCTTTCAGCCAAGACGTCTGTCCCAGCGCAGCACAACTCATTAAGGGAAAGAGCAGGAGGAAACTTGGGAGCCATTCAGAGCAGGAATAAGAGGGCGGTAAAAAGGCAAAGAGGCCAGGTTCCACACACCCTGTGGCAAGATCTCGAGGAGCTGGCTAAGTGGACCAGCACTGACATGTGATTTTTGTACACAGGGAGCTTGTTTCTGAAGCCTGGACACCTCTAGTGAGGTTTGGGGTTGGGTCACAAATTTGGGAGGTAAAAGGCACCTTCCTCCCTACATCATCCCACACAACACCGTCCTACAGGGTCTGCAGGAGTACTCTGTGTCCACAGCCCTTTCACAAAGTCCAGTGTGACAGGAGAGAAGATAAACAGAACACATGCCCTGATAGCCCCTCCTGGGCAATCCCAGCCTGGCACCAAGTGCAACATCCAGCCACCTCTGAGGGGCAAACATTGCAACTGTGGGACAGGTGCCATCCTCCTGGTTTTATACTCAAGGCACCCAAGCAGAAAAACCCAGCTGATGAGGGAAGCTGCTTTAAATTTCCCAATTCGGACACTCTGCCATGACATCATTTGGTCTCTGCTAAGCACAGTACACATTGTTACCCCATTTCAGGGTCCTGCATCACCTTCTGCTGTTTTCCAAACAGCACATATTTGCCAGCTCCTTGGGAGGGACCCAGTCTGTCACAGCTTGCTGTGACAGTGACATCACAGCCTATGGAACACCTAGCTGGGACACAGCACAGCCACTGTCCTGCCCAGAGGCACTCCATGCTGCAAGGAAACCAGCTCCCACCTCCCAGATGACCACAGAGCCCACTTCTGCCCAGAAAACCTCTACCCCAAGGCAATGTCACCACAGTTGCTGCCACAAACACCCCTTTCCCTCCCCACCCCTCAGAGAGGGGAAGTTCAATAACTGTGGTTTGTTTAACTCACACTTTGTTCTTCTGCTTCTTGGGACCGAGGACCAGCAGACGCTCCAGCCAACAGCCCAGCACACACAGCCTTCCCCAACTCCCCTCCCCACCACACCTGAAAGCCCTTACAAATCTAGAAAGTTAACGGGTCTTTGCTGCTTAATTACCCTCATCTGCACAACCACCACCAGTTCCCCCAGTACTCTGCTGTCCCACTCGGAGGCTGGAGCAGCTCCCCCAGCCTGCCCTGCACAAGGCTGTCCACACAGCCCCCCGAGACACGTGCTAGACCATTTTACCTGCTTTTACTCTACCTGTGCTTCAGCCTCCCTATTTCCCACAAGACTTCCCACAGCACAAGCTCACCCTGCAGCACACAGAGGAGGAAGGGCAGCTGTTTCAGATAAAGCATCTACCTTCTTTTCCCCTCCTTCTTAACCAAAGCTTCCCCAGTGATGCAGCCTCCAAAGGAGGTATTTGGAGAGACGGGAGAAAGCTGGAAGCCAGCTGAGGCTGTGTGGAACCTGAGCAGCCACAGTCAGCTGTGTGACCCCACTTCCCATCCGCGCTGCGCCCAGAGGGATGCCTGGCCATTTTACCCTGCTTGAACATCCCAGGAGCCTTGCAATATTAACAGTAGTTCTCCTTCTGCTCACAGACCGCTGCCACTGAGCAACCCAGAGGGTCTCTCCTGCTGCTGCCTACAAGCATCAGAAAACATCTCCTTGCTGCATCTCATATGTTCACAGCAAATAGAAGACAGGCCAAGAAACAGCAGCTCTAGCAGGCAGGATGTAGATCATCCTGACACACCCAGTGCCAGCTGCAGTAAGAAATTTGCTTGAAAAAGAACCCCATGCTAACCTGCAGGGAAAACCACATATTGGCCCTTTCCAATCTGACGGGTTGGCTCTTAATCTGGATTAAGTTTAAGATCGAGTGCACGTCCAGGCTGTACAAAGTGAGCACCTGTGAATCTAAAGGCATGAGCAGCATCTGCTGGATGAGCCGAGCCAAGTGCAGCTGCAGCTTCTGCAGATTTTGGGAAAACTGTTCTCTCACAGCACCTCCAAGGTGACAATGTTTCCCTGCAAACTGTTCTAAAATGCCCAGATATCACTTACATCAGTATTGCAGAAAATCCACGAGGCAGGGCTGTGGCAGTCACAGGGATTTCAGGACAGTGGTGGGAAAAGCTTTCCAGGCAGGGAGAGTGTCTTAATGAGTAAATTTAAGACAGCCAGGACACCCAGGTCTGGGCTATCCTCCCCACCCCCCTTCTGCTGACCAGGCTGTGCCCATGGTGCCCCATCGCTCCCACCTCCTGGGGTCTTTGTGAGCCACCAAGCTCCAGCTTTCCCTGCACAGCCAGTCCTGCTCCCTTCCTAAAAAGTGAGGTTTCTTTACTGTATCTCTTTTTACCTGCAGTTTATCATCCTTTGGGATGAGTGTTTTTGAGGTGCTGACATCTCACTGAGAGCTCCAACGCAGTCCAGGAGCATCAGCTCTCAATCCACTCCCCAGCTGGGCTCCTGGGATTTCCTGTACTGCCCTTCTCTGGGAAAAGTTTCAGCCTCATGAAGAGCTCAGTTGCATATGTTTCTTCTCTATTAATAGAGGGAGATAAGCAACCTCTGAACATAAAAATGTAATTCTCATCCCATGGAGTCCAAAGGACTTTTGCCAGGGCTCCCAGGAGTTCTCATCTACTGCAGAGCTTGTCAAGGAGCAGCACAGGAGGGAAACAAAACCAGGAAATATGGGAGGCACATGTGCATGTCTGATTAACCCGACGTTTTATGATAAACAAAGCAGCTCAAGGGCCCTGTTCTCTCTGTCCCTGTAATAAATCTCCCCGTTTTACTGTTTTATGATGTCAAACATCTAAGAGCTTTCCTGGAGTTGCAAATACAACATAAATTACCTTGGGTAAACTCTGCAGACGCTAATGTTATCTATAAAAGCCCTGGCACTAATAACTTCACAGAAAGTCTGAGGGCTCCCAGTTTGTATGAGCAAAGTTAATTAGTGTGTGCAGCCTGTAACTCAGAGGCGCCGAGATTAGGAGGATGAAGTGCCAAAGGGTGAACTCCTGAACCGTAGCTACTTTGGATGCCAAAATAGATGGTGACCCTGACCCAAAGTTTTGGGTACGGGCTTGCAGCATCTCAACAGAACATGAAAGAAATCCATCCTGATTTATCCCAAAGTCAGACATCCCACCTGGGTGCAAAGACGCCATGCTAAGAAGGATGAACCAAGTCTCCAGGAGAGCTGCATTGCTGCTCATTATCTTAGGGAAAGCCTAGGCTGTTGTTAAGCCCTTTCCCACCCAGTCTTTGCCATAAAACAGTCTGTCCTCCACAACCAAATCACACCGTGGGCAAGTCGTGACTTTGGCCTTTATGAAGAGGCTAAACCAATTTGATTGCCTCTCATGTACACGGTCCCTCAGACACCTGCTGCAAGGGCTGGGTGGGCTCAGTTCCTGCAGCAGTGCACTGGAGAGCTCTGGGAAATGAGGTCAGACCCTCTTTTTCACATTTTGCTGGCAAAGCGGTCCCCCCAGGCATGAAAGAGAGAGGGAAAAGGGAGGCCACAGAACCCACACCACATTTTTTTTTAGAAAACATATTTTCTAAAAATAATGGTTAAGGGTCAGATCATATTTAGTTAAAAAATAGGAATACTGAAATAACTCAGCTCCGTGACATCAGTTTAGCAAACACTGTTTCTAAGATTTAAATCTTAGCTGAATTAAAATTACAGTTGCAGGTGAAGAGCACAGCAGCTTCATCTCTCTGTTCTTAAGCCTGGAAGCAGCGGCAGTTGTTCTGCAGAAGTGCAGTGATTTCAGTCCTGTTTGCAAGTGAAAATGCAAAGTGATATCACCGTCATCAGAGAAACAGCAACACCCCCGTTCTGAACTTTAATGCCATATTCATTGGTTTTGGTGATACAGCTTATGGGAATGGACAGCTGAACATCTGGTGTAAGACTATAGATGACACCACCTGTCCAAGAATCACCCTTTTCTTATGGTTTGTGACCAACATAACTTTTCCCATTCACTTCAGCAGTCATAGGCCTTGGTCCTGAATCTTACAATGCAGAACATTTAACTTTTTATTTTTTTTTAATTAATGTGTGATTTCACTGCTGGATCTTCAGGTGGTGATTGTTTATAAAGATCTCACAGGTCCCAGAAGCAATTCCAGGTCTACGCTACCATTTAACTGCAGGCAAATTTGGTTGAGATTTCCTCTCTCCCCATCCTTTGCAACAGATCTCTGTAAAGTCGAGCTATTGGCATAATTTAATTAGGAGACAGATTTTGAATGTGAACTGGGAATGTGTTACCAAACACAAAAGCACAACTAGTATAAGCAACATCAAGCAAGCCAGTGGAGTTTATTGCTGTTCATCAAACATCGCTCCATCACAACTCGTTGTGAATGTGGCCCATGTTCCCAGCTCCTGCAGAGCAGCACCATTCCCTCCTCACGGAGGTTCACACAGGTGTGGGTGTGGATCCCACACACTGCACCTGACTCCCCTCCTCGCTGTACATCTCCATGTTCTTGGCACTTCCACTCGGGAATGATGATGAGGCTCTATCTGTTCAACACTGATCAAGCAAGTGGAATGAAATGTAAAACATCAGCACAGAAATCCCTCCTGCCTTTGAGGTTCTGTTGTAACTTGTCAAGTTTCACTTAAAATGTGACAAACATGACATTCTACAAAGTCTGCTAGATTTGGGTGGTTATTACCAGAGAGTCTCACAGGGGAGATGTTTTACCTCATCTATTACTGGAAGCATCACAAAAATGCAATGTAGATGTCTGTACACACACTTCAGAAAAGCTGAAACTTAGCCCATTTTTTTCTTTTTTAGAGAGGGAAGGAAGGTTCAAGTATCTGCAACAGGATTGGGAATGCTTTACTAAGCCTGTTCTCACGAGAGTAGATGAATAATGGTTATTTCCATGTGACATCTATTATTCATAAATATAAAACAGATTAGATATCAAGGCACCAGTCACTGATAATCCAATTACTTAGAACATTCATGTCCCCATAATGACCATTTCATCTTCAAAACCCATCACTCTCAACAGAGTGGACAAGACTTTTAACCATAGTTAAAAACCTCCCAAAGGTGCTGAGAATGCTCATCCTGCGCTCAATAAAATTAAAATTAAGAAGTTTTTCTACTCCTTTCTGGCTAGGGCTTATACCACCTTTCAACTGATACATGCTCAGAACCATCTGTATTTAACTTACAGTCTAGGGCCTTTCTCTATTACTACAAAGCTAAAAGGCAGTTAGCAGGTTTTCCTTGGTCAAAAAGATACCAGAAAACAATATTAAACAATGAATTATGCCAGATTTACAGAAAGAGGGCCTATTACACACACACACACACAAAAGTTCTCTCATGGCTTTGGCTCTGGACTACTGGCAAGCTTCAGAAACCTCTTAAACCCACTTTCTACTTTTTAGCTCACTAGCAGTCACAGTAAAAGCACCATAAATACAATTTTACAACCCATTTTACTTTGCCTCTTGTGAAATGCATATTTATTAATCCGGCAAAATATCCTGCTGGGAGTTTATGGCAACTGTAGCTACAATTCTCTCATGAATTCATTTCCCTTTGAACATGAAAAATTAAAAAGCAGCTTCACGCAACAATTTATTTTTTTAAGTATTCAATAAAATCTCCCCAAACTTTAAATGTAAGATTTATAAGGAAGGACCTTTATAAACACAGCAGCACCAATTTCAAGAGCATGAAACCTCTAATAGAGTGAACGGTGCTCTTGAACCCGCTGATAACCAACCGCAAGCCGATTTCTCTACTGGCAACTCTGTTGTTTCCGCCCTCTGGGAGGGAAATGGAGGTTTTGGTGGTAGGAGGGGAAAATAGTTGTGAGGCTGAGTTGCCATCAAGAACATACCTAAACCTCACTGGAAACTACTGTACCAGCTCCTCCTGGCACACCAATGCTTGGTTCTCTTTATTTAATTGCCTAAAGCCTCACGTTTATGCCCCAGGCACTGCTCAAAAGATGTGGCTTGGATCCCAGCTTAGCCAGGTGATCTGTCCCAACGGTTCAGTAAACTGGAAAGAATAACTACACAGAGGTGAGACCTGAAATCCTCATACCAAAGACTACATTTTGGAAAGGATAATTAAACATTTAACTACAATTACCTGGTATTTATATCTCTATGAAGAGATACGGAGTCATTTTGGGTCTTGTTAAATTGTAGGCTTAGATGGTGCAAAGCAGCTTCCAGCGACGAACGTTTCCATATGCCAGTTAATAAGCTTCGAGTATCTCACCCATTAATCCGAGTGAACATCCCCCTACTCATCCCCAACGGCATCCGTGACACAGCCACTGGAATTATGTGTCTGCAGTGACTCTCTGCTCAGCTTCAAGTGCAATTCCAGATTTTGGGGAGCCTCTTTAAAACCCTGACATTCCTGAGAGAAGAATCCCTGCAATTCTAAAGCTGAAGAGGCTATTAAGATACTCCATCTCACGTAATCCAGCACTTAAGCACAAGCTCTGCAGAGCAGGAAAAAGGCTTCACCTTTTTGAAACACCTATTCCCCAAGCCCATTAGATTCACAGCTAAACTTCCCAACAAGCTGCATCAATCTTCTCAAGGAGATGGGTGTTTCAGAGGGCTAAAAGAAGGAAAAAGGGTTTGATGTTTGATAGAAAATAGTGTTTTGTCCAGCAAATAATACTTTGGGGAAAGTAAAGTAACCACAGAGCTGAGAAAGTTCAGAGGCCTCTGCCCATCCTACAGCCATGGATTCAAGTGACCCCCCAGTCCTGCTTGCACTGACCATCTGCAGCCAAAACCACGGTCAAACTGCTTATAAACAATACACAACTCAAAGAGTATCAAGTGTTCAAACTAATGGGATCTGTGTCCAAGCAGTGAAGGCCTGATTAACAAGAAAGGAAACAAGACAGCAAGAGTGGTGCAGTTTTATTTGAACAAAAACCAGTGTCGATATTTTTAATTAAGTCTACCTTACACTAAATGCATGTACATTTGTAAGAAGATACCTAGTTGTAAAGAAGGTGCAGGATAATATGTACAATCATAGTTAAGTTAAAAAAATTCACATTTTATATAGATTTACTTGACAGTCCTATGCTTTAATTGTATATAAATGGTAACCAAAAGAGGTAACAAAAAACCCTCGCCAAATCACAAGAAAATTCAGCTGGAGGACTGCACTCATTTCTCAAACAAACAAGTTCACAGAATTTTTATTTGTCCTAAATCAAGTTCTGGATATAATTTTTGAATTATTAGAATGAAGATGTTCAATGAGTATACTGACATTTTTGTTTTTATCAAAATGGCAATGGTGCCATTTCCTTCCATAAAAATCTGTATTTTATGCTGTAGTCTGGTCTTCAGTTTTTACAAATCAGAATAATTACACAGGATGTTTTTTAATACATGGTAAAAGTTATCAAACAGCAAAAGACATTTTGAAGCTTTTCAGTCCACTTTCACAACACTGTAAATCTTACTTACAAACCAGAAGCAGGCAAAAAATCCAATAGTCCCTAAAATGAGAAAGTGACAAAGGTTAGTTTCTTTTACAGTTTACTATGAGAAATCTAACAAGTACTTCCGAGCAGGACAGAATACAACACTGTAATCCAGCTAACTATCCAGAATAACAGCACTTCTTCAATTTAACGACACACATTTATCCCGCTATTTATTTAGAGCAGAGATGACTTTTAGGACCAGGCTGCTGACGTCCATTTAAACCACTGAACATGATGCCACCACCACCAGCA